TAAGTCATCACTGTCAACACGCACTGGTTGTATAATCCCGTTTTCAGGGTTTGAGGTATAGGGTACCGGACGAGATGTGTCGTAACTACCCGAATTCTGCCTAGCAGAGTTGAATTCATCTATTGATCATCTTGATCGAAGTTGGACTTACCTAGTCTGACTATATGTCCCAGGTAAACACACTCGTCAACAACTTGAGCTTAGTGCTCCCAAAAACTACCGGCGTAGGTGTGACATGGACGTTGCACATGATCTTTGTTTTGTATATGTTCATTTTAAGACCTATCCGTTGGGAGACACTATTGAGGTCGTTGAGCATAGTGCTTAGGTCCTCCAGCAATTCTGCCATAATCAGTATATCTGCCGTAATAACTATATCGTCGGCAAATCGAAGGTGAGTGATGCACTTGCCATTGATGTTAATACTTCCAGTATCCTTTTCCAGTTCAGTAGCTTGAAAACGTCTTCCAATGCAGCGGTGAAGAGTTTTGGGGATATGACGTCACCCTGTCTTACACCTCTCTGCTGTTGGTTATAGGTTTCGTACTCTGGTTCTGTACTCGGATAGCCTCGTAGCCCTACTGTACAAACACTTCAGCACTTCGTCATGGGGGGTAATTTCTATAGTTGTTATAGTCTTTGTTGTTAGGTAATTATAATTTCTATAGTTGGTTTTTATTCTATTATTGTTGTTCATCATCATATCAGGAAAATGCTGCTGCCCTGTTTCCATCTGTCGCCTCTTACGACACCCACGGAAAGATATGGGTTTTTTTTATTTTATTTTATAGGACAAGGTGACAAACGAGCACACAGTCCACCTGATGGTAAGTGGTTGCTGCGGCCCATTGACATCTACGTCTATCCTCGATATAAGAAAAAAAAAATGCAGAAGCGTTGTCACCCGTGTGGACTAAGATGGAATGCCTCGTTTCCAGTAAAAAGGGTCTCCGGTTAACACAGCAGCGTTAAGCTACTATTTCACGCTGGTATTTTGTAAGAGTGTGGTCCTTCCCCGGTCGAGCCGACTCATTCGTGCTACAACTATACTACAAAATAATATAACGGCAGCATGGCTCTACCATAGGATAGGGGTAGTGGATATTCTTAACTGCCACTAGACGGCTATATCGCATACCTATTCTATATTCCCGACGACAATGTACGGTATATACAATAAGTTAATGTACGCGATAAAATCCGTAAAAACTAGTTTCATTTAAATGTGTAGCGTTCGCGTAAACATATGAAATTATTATGAAAGTTTTATAATTGTATTGTACCAAAGAGATCGAAAATAGTTCGTCATCCGGTCTACGCGTTTACGCTTATTGTTCTAAACTTCTTTTATTGACAACGATAGATATGAGAGGTTGGAGGGTCAAAAATAATTTGCTAGGTATTGCAGTTTTTTTTTGTCTTTATTCATTTAAGTAGGCACATTTAATAAATTTGTCCAATGTCACCAGCAAGTTCTACACCAAATTAACAATTTATGGTCAGCCATCGTAGAGTCTACGTCACCTGAGGATGCCTCGTGTAGAGGCGAAACACGTACCGTATTATCGTCGATGGTGTGTCTTTCCTAGGTAGTGGTGCTGGAATTAGTGGTCACGGCGATAGTGCACGCGATTGAGGGAGGGCGGGAGGAGCTCTTCAAATTAAGTATGACTTATAATAATTTTATTTCATTGGGCGGATATGGCCGCAAAGTAACACCTGATTCTATTAATTAATTTACAGAAAATAATATTCTTGTAGAATCAGTGACCTACTTTAAAATACATATGTAAATAAGCATTTGTCATGTGAAGGAAACATATCATTACAACAATAATCAAACACATTTCGCCCCGTGAAAGACGTAAGAGGCGACTATAGGAGTTGCCGGGAAGATCATATGAACTCATGATACATGGTCAAACGTAAAATACCCAGGTGATCGACACTAGACCTGCCAAGCATGTCGATTGTATTAAATCATCCCTACACAAAAGAAGTATAAAGAAAGAGTAATAGCGTGATAAATTTAGAAAATCCCAGATTTTTCCATATCAAGCATAAATCATTAAAAAAAAAACATACTAAATCACAATAAACATTTCGTACAAAATTAATGGTTCAATTGAGAGCACTATGCTGTGATTAGAAGATTGATCTCACATTTGAAATTTGAAAGCTATTTATCAGTTTGCAGTGGAACCAATAAAATACACTTATCTCATTCGAATGATGGGCAATTGTATGTATGTATGTATGTAAATGTATTCATGGCACCACGTAGAGCCATACTGCGGCTGTTTTATCGCTGCAACTGTAACACAAATTGTTCGGCTCAACAGCGGAAGGTCTATGGTCTTACGAAATTCTAGCACACAGCAGCAGCATAGTGCTGCTGTATTTCCTATAGTTAGTGACGAAAATCGGAGATCTTTTTTAATACCTAGTAGGTAATGAGGAATTCCATCTTGGTACTTCGTCATAGCGCTTTTGCACTTTAACTCTTAATCGACGATAGTTATAGGTGTCTAAAGGTCACAGCATTTACTTACCATCAAGTGGACTGTGTGCTCGTTTGCTAACCTTATTTTCATACAAAGGAATTTTTATTAACGGTACGTAACAAATAATTTACTTCCTTAAATAAAAACGAACATTTGTTTATACAAAATCTTCTTCGAAGATTGCTTAAAAATTTTGACGAAACGTTGCATACGAATACGTGCGAGTTTTATATACACTTAAAAAAAACAGCGCCATCTGTGGTTTCCTTTTTTTCTATTTTACCACACAGAGTAACAGCAATGCACGGCCAGGTAAGTACAGCTAACCTGTAATGAAAATTATGATAGCTTTGATTAAGCGAACTTCGTCTTCGTGACTCTAATTTTTAATTATAAAGAAGGACTAAATCTTTTTATTAGAATATATAATTTATTATTTGCACTTTAACTCTTAATCGACGATAGTAGTAGGTGTCTAAAGGTCACAACATTTATTTACCATCAAGTGAACTGTGTGCCCGTTTGTTAACCCTACTTTCATACAAAGGAATTTTTTTAACGGTACGTAATAATCTACCCACTTAAATAAAAATGTTAATGTTCGTTTGTACAAAATCTTCCTCGAAGATTGCATACGAATACGTGCGAGTATTATATAAACTTTACAAAACATCGCCATCTGTAGGTTTCCTTCTTTTATATTTGACCAGACTGAGTAACAGCAACGCGTGACAGCTAATCCGTAATGAAAATTGTGATAGCAAATTTGATCAAGCAAACTTCATCTTCGTGACTCTAATTTTTAATGTTTGACATATTATTGATTTCGTTAAGCATAGTTCTGCATGAGATCTGTTGCTGAACATCAAATAGTGTCCGTAACATTGTTGATATTAATTTTTTATTAAAATTAAATTATGTCATTCAAGTTCGCAAACCAAATTATCCTAAGCTACGCTTTATACCAGCAGGATTACGGAGCAATAATGCCTCAGGGTAGTACGAGATCTCAAGCAGTAACCTTGGAACAATCGTTACGATAGAATCTAACAAATGAAAAGTGCAATTTTATTGAATTCGGCCCTGCTAATTTTACCTGATGCGTGCGTAGTAACAGAAAAAATTACAAAAAAATTCCTGTACCTATCCGTTTCTATGTACCTACTCCTACTTCGTCCTAAACATCCCCCAAACAGTATTTTCAAAAAATGTATATATATATGTGCAAACCTGACTTCCTTTGAGAGCCTATACTACCTCACATGGCTTAGCATGATCCTCCGTTATGCCGAAAATATTATGCTCACAAACGGCACGGTATAGCAGGGTGTTAAAAGATTTATTCGTGGGAAAAAGATTTTCGACGTTATTTTAATGATACTAGGTCTGACATTACTTTATTTCAACACAAATAGAAGGAAACGTCTCGCGTGACACTGCGGCATGCTGTTGCACGTCACGGCATTCCATGCACGTCACGGATGCCGCGAAATGCCGTTGCATCACGTGAAACGCGTGGGTTACTTTATGTTGTTAAAGGAATGTGATGTGAGTGCTAAATAATTAAACAAAGTTGAATCTAGCCCGTTGCGGCGGCGATCTCAGCAGCCCTGCGCGAGCGCCCGATACGCGAGAGCGTATTGACTTGATTGTCATACCGCGGGATGCCACAGGATCCTTCGGGATGCCTAAGTATGCCTTGCCCCACCGTGCCATGCCACGTCGTCTGTGCGCGCAGGCCCTTACTATTATTTGCTTAAAAATAGTATAGATTTTGTGAGGATATCAAATGATCTATAGGACTGATAGAAAATCATAAAAACTTCAATTTTTTGTGCAAATGTCAACTTAAATTACGACACTCATTATTATCATCATTACAACCTCATACTAGGCATTTATTTAGTGCCGCCGCGACCTAAGATTTTATCGCACATAAACATTCATTGATACTAACTTATTTTTTTATAAATACTCACTAATAGTCAATGCATATTTATAATATTTGAATGATAACTACACTCTACTAATAACGACTGATGGTTAACGTTGTATTAGAAGGCAAAATAATATTTCAACTTTCGTTTATTTGTAATGTCGTTTAATTTAAAAAAAATATGTAAACAACATCACAAATATTCATAACTAAGTAGATACTTAGTTATGTTACCAAGGTACCCTTATAAACCAACTTATAACTAAAATATCTCTTCTAAGTGACAGATCTCCTTATTTCAACCGCGTCCAGTTTTTCTTTACAATGTAACAAAAACAAACTCAAGTGAATCCTATTTGTGTAAGTGTACACATTCTGGGTCTGTGCATAATTACTTAAAATTCTTATTTTAAAATTTTACACAAAATAAGTTTTATTGCACTTTGCTTGGAATTTAGTTGTCATAGTGAAGAAAAAAACAAAGACATTAAGCCGCATCGTTGCGCCAGTTTAACAATGCCCTCCCCCCGAGAGATGTCGCTGAGTTTCGCGCGCTACGTTCAGCTAGCAGTAAAAATACGTGCCGGTATTTCCTGTCCCCGCGGCAGTCTTTCGGGCACGAGGGGCGGCAGGGGCGATAAATAACTCAGTTTGCGGCCAGAGGGGCGCGGAGGACATCGGGGGCGAGTGAAAGCGTTATTTGTAGAGCTCGCGTGTGAATTATTCGTGGGTTCACGCGCGCTGTTTGCTCGCCGTCTTGTGGAGTCCCTTGTTAATGAAATTTCATATCGCTCGCTTGCCGCGTCTCGTTTCATTTCGGTATACTGCACACTAATCGAGGCGTCTATTCAATGCCCTTACAATTGTTACACTTGACTGTAGACGGGACTATTATACTATGTTAGCTCATTCACCTAAAATAGAAGCCTGCGGGTTAATATAAAGTATTTACTGTGAAACGTTGACTTAAACAAATACAAAATGTGGACAATTTATTGTACGAATATTTTTTCTAAACTTTTCGATATCATATTAAGTAGATACTCGTAATATTTCTAGACTGATGAACGCTAATAATCTTCTAGCTGACACTGAGGGGAAGTTTTTTGTTAGATAGGTACACAATGCCATTTAATGGAGAAGCAAGTTTTAAATAAAAGTCTATCACTTTCTAGAGTAGTACATATAATTACACAAACAATGCCTAAGTGGTTTGCTCTTTAATTTTTCCACATTTTAACTCTTTTTTAATTTTTCTACTTTTTTAATGTCTATGGATTGGTTTATTTATTTTTAATTTAATTATATTGAATATAATTAATAACACAGAAAGAAACATTGACCTTTACATTTTTCGAACAAATTAACTTCCCCGCTATGAAATTTTTAAAATTAAACCTTAAAATCAGCATTTACAACTCATTTTCAAATAGCGCCGCCCTGGTGGCAGAAAATTTCATGGATGCATTATTATAATAAATAAAAATATAGTAAATTGTGAAAAACAACAAAAACATATTATATGTACATATATTTGAAATTAATATTTTATTTCTAAAAGGTAAAGGTAAAGGAGTTTCGCCTACTGTATACATATTTTTAGAAATTACTAGAAATGGGCCGAATATTGGTTTTATATTCGTTATTCGGCAGCTTTATTACCGAATATTCGTATTCAACCGAATATTCGGCTAAATCACCGAACATTCGTTTTAATAGTGTGTCAATGGAGTAATTGCCCCCAGCAAGTTCACCGCATAGTGGAATATATCCTCAGCGGTTTTTATCCTCGTCGTCAAAAAACCATCGCGGTCTTCTTCGACATTGCCAAGGCATTCGACAGAGTCTGGCACGAGGGCCTTATCTATAAATTGTACGACTTAGGCCTCCCAGACCGTCTCGTTCGCCTTGTAGCCTCCTATCTGAAGGATCGTACCTTTCGCTTTAGACACGAAGGCACGCTATCCTCTACTCGTCAAATCAAAGCCGGTGTCCCTCAAGGCTTTGTGCTTGCCCCCCTCCTATATATACTATTCACCAACGACATCCCTATCCCGTCGAATGGTGTTAAACTAGCCTCTTCGCAGATGACACAGCCCCTTACTCTAAAGGTTCAACTTACACTGCCACAGATTCGGAACAAGATCCAAAAGTCAGTAAGCGACTTAGGAGCTTGGTTCCAAAAATGGCGTATCGACGTAAACCCGGAGAAGAGCTCCGCCGTTTGCTTCGAATATAAACGACGCCGTCTCACCACCACTCCGCCAATCAGGATGTTAGGAACCCCTGTCCCATGGCAAACTACAGCCAAATATTTAGGCGCCACCCTTGATGCAAGGCTCACTTTCGAACCCCATATCAAAAATGTGAGTAGCATTTTTGATATGCACCACAGCACCGCACGATTTTACATGGGTAGGCTCAACAGCATGCTGGGCAGACACAGTAAAATGTCCCTCCGCAACAAGCGAAACCTATATAAGGTATGCATACGACCTGTCATGACCTACGCGGCCCCCATTTTCGCACATGCTAAGCCCAAAGCTATAAATGAACTTCAACTAGTTCAAAATCTATTCTGTCGTAGGGCCACAAACTCGCTCTATTATGTCCGTAATGCCGACCTACACCGAGACTTAGAGCTCCCAACAATCCAGCAGTTCCTTAAATCACTCTCTGAGAGATTTTTCAAAGCCTCAGAGTCCCACCCAAATCATCTCATTCGTGAGACAGCTGCCTATGCAGCCCCTATCCACACTCGCCATAGTGTGCGCAGACCGAGAAACTCTCTCTCGGACCCTCCCAACAAGCTTTCGGCTGACCTGAACTGCCTCCTGGCGGCTCAGGCCGAGCCTACATAACACATCCCTTAATCTGCCTTAGTTAGACACTCGTCTAAGCGGCTTTTCGCCGCTTGCGCCCTCCTTTCTGCCAAGGAGGGTCGCGTTCGTATACGGCTTAGAAATCTCTAGTTAGACCGTTAAGTCAGTCCCTAAAAGGTGGGGTTTAGTGGGTAAAAGTCTCCACGTAACCACGCAGCCGGCTGCGTGGTATGCTATGAGCATTCACCGCCTCCCTCCCCCGTTTTCCGGAGGGTTGCCCATATTTGCTTCGGGCGCAAAATAAAAAAGATGTAAAAATGGAGTAATGCGATGTCTTTTACTGTTGAAAGTACATTTTATTTATGGGTTAAATCTACTTACTCTAGAGCTATCTCAAATGCATAAATCTATACATTCATGTTTTTGAGGCACTGTAGATTTATTTCTTGATAAAATGTTTTTGGAATCAAACAAAGAAACATTACATTTAGTATATTTAACTTTACTTTGACTTTACTTCACTTCACTTTACATTTCACTTTACTTTGATCGTCAGTTTCTCTAAAATAAGTCCAAATAGTAAATCTCCTGCCGCTCATTTATATCATATAATTATCAATTTTCACTAAGAATAAAACAACGAAATACTTTTTTTTATCACAAGAATAGTCAAAACATAAGCAAGTGCCGGCAATTTGCTCAGTACTAGATGATGCAATAACTGTCAGGTGTGGCGGGGAGCGAGATGCAGGGTCTGGCGCTAATCCCACGCGGTTTACGGTAACAAGTTTCGACATATTAAATTGGTTGGGTCCCGAGGTTATCCTGCCGAATAATGTTTGGCCGAATATTCGGTTCGGTAAAATTTTTACCGAACATTCGGCCGAATATTCGTATTCGGTGAAATCCATATTCGGCCCACCCATCCCTAGAAATTACGGTTTGGTTATGGATCCGAATAATGTAACAGTATATTATCTATATAGTGGGGTTAGAACCATAGCTATGTCTAATGGGCAGAGTTTACATCTATCTTCTATTAAAAACCAAAATACAGATGCGTTGTAACCTCTGAGCACTAGTATGGAATGCGTCGTTGTCAATAGGTATCTTTATCTTTTATGCAAATGAAAATGTTCATTTTATTTATTTAAATGTATTGACGGTTATCAGCTTCTTTATACTAATGCTTTTTTAAAACTATTAAATGAAAAACATGGCTAAGAAAAAAACATCTGTTTTTATTTCATAATACAAACCTATCTTTTTCAAGCGACTTAGCCCGCGTGGCCTCCAAAAAAAGACACAAAAACATGATAACATGCGTTGAACATTGCGATGTCTAATATAAAATGCAAATATTGATGTTTTTCTTCAGATAATTATAATTTGTAAGTAATTTAAAATTGTATAATAATTAATAACACACACAACTCATCCGTAAGGCGAGTCAATGGTGAAATTAAACTTTGTTTTAAAACAAAATTGCCAAACAGATCCATAGGTTATCCATAAAGTTATAAGTTATGAGTATATTTGTTATATTTTATAATTAGGTACACTAGCTTGCCAGGCAGACGTTGTTCTGCCCTTTTCGACGACTCTTTGTCATGTCCTATTAAAAATTCTTAACTTCGTAAAATAATTTGTGAGTCACTCATGGGCAAAAAAAAACTATCCTATCTCTCAAATTGGACCAAACTGCACACGGTGTGCAAATTTGATTAAAATCGGTTAAGTAGTTTAGGAGTCCATCGCGGACAAACAGCATGACACGTAATTTATATAGGTATGTTAAGATTATTTAAATTATTAAAGTTCGTAAGAAATGAAAATTTAAATATGTCCAGATACTTGCAGTTCCGTAGTCGGATATAAGTAGCCTACTTATGTTTCAAAAGGCAATTAAATGTCTCTGTACAATTAATATTCATGAAAATCCGTGCAACAGTATTTTCGAGAAATGTGAATACACAGACAGACAGCAGATAAACAGAGAATACTACTCTGTGTAAAAAGTATCGGGAATATGTCAATAAAAAGACCCGCGTAAAAGAGGTCGTTCTAATTTTTTTACTGCATGTTGGTAGCACTGTACTGATTTAGCGCGCAAAGTTTGAGCGGGATCTGTCATTTAATTTGTTTTAAACTACACTTTTTGTTGGTCATAGTTTTGAGTTCTCGGCGATTTTTACAATGGAAAATATTGTTGAACAAAGAGTGTGCCTTAAATTTTGTGTTTCGAATGATATTTCATGTGGTGAATCACTAAAAATGTTGCGAAATACCTACGGCGAATCGTGTATATCGAAAACAAGGGCTTATGAATGGTATAAGGCTTTTAAAGAAGGCCGAGAAGTAGTAGTAGACTTGCCTCGTTCTGGTAGACCTTCAACCGCTACGACCAAAGAAAACATCGTCAAAATCAAGAAGCTAGTGCTCGAAAATCGACGTATTATGAGTCTGAGAGAGTTGGCTAGTGAGGTGAACATATCTTTTAAGTCCGTCCACAACATTCTCATTGACATTTTAGGCATGAAACGCGTCGCCGCTCGACTAGTTCCAAAAGAGCTCAATTTTGTTCAAAGAGCGCAGCGAAAGCATGTCGCTGAAGACATGGTTTCCCGAGCTTCTACGAATACGACCTTTATGAAACGTATAATAACTGGCGACGAGACATGGGTTTATGAGTACGACATGCAAAAAAAGCCAACAGTCTTCAGAATGGCGTCTCGAAAACGAGCCGAAACCCAAAAAACCGCGGCAAAGTCGCTTCAAAATCAAGGTGATGCTGACAGTTTTTTTTTGACTACCGTGGTGTGGTTCACTCCGAATTCCTTCCAAAGGGAGAAACAGTGAATAAAGAATATTATTTAGGCGTCATGAAGCGTTTGCGTGAGAGTATCCGCCGAAAACGTCCAGATTTGTGGCAACACAACTCATGGATGCTGCACCATGATAATGCACCATCACACACAGCCATTATAGTGAAA